ATTTTTTTGTTGCACAAATCACAGAGTGTGCATTATTGTATCACGACATCCCAGAGCCCGTGAAAGTGCCCCCTCGTGAAAACGAAGCAAGGCTGTTGCATGCGTCGCAATGGATGTTAATTTAATCTCCTGGTTAAATAAAGAATACAACTGCATCATTGATTCTTCCTTGCCTTCTCTCACCCACCACTTCCCTCGCTCGCGTGAGTCACCCACCGACCTTCCTCCCTTGGGCTGTGGGGTGTTACTGGAGGTCAGAATCAAAGCTCCTCCCCATCGTTCGATGGGACGGATGGGAGGGCTCTGATGCTGCGACGGTTGAGTGTGTGGTTTGAAGTTGAGGAAGGGTGTTGGCAAGTGACGTGATGACGCTGCATGGCTTGTGCTGCATGAAGACTTGTCTTATCCAGAACGCACTTGCTGTGCCAATACGAAACGTAACTCTTGCAGCTGCGGTGGCTGTGTGTAAACCCGTCGCAGCCACGGCTAAAAATGCGAGTTAAAAAAAAAGCCCGATGCTGCATTTAAGACGGTCAGTATACAATGAGTGCTTTAAAAAGAGAAAATGGGTAATATTGTAAACGTAGGGTTCTACATCGCAACATTTTCACCGCGTCAGTCGAAACGGTGGCTGTTTTCGAAAAACGTATACAAAAAAAATACAACACGCTAGATAGCTTTTATTACATTTCGATTTAAAGCTTTCGTGACTGCAAGGATTCATCTTCTTTGGTTATTTCGGTAAAGTCACGTAGAATGAGAATAAAATGATAAATTGATAAAATCAAACAACACAATAAAATTCTCACGACGTTTCGGCCACAACACAAGCGGCCTTCATCAGGTGGCCTTCATCAGGTGAAGGCCGCTTGTGTTGTGGCCGAATCGTCGTGAGACTTTTATTGTGTTATTTTATCAATTTATTATTTTATTCTCATTCTACGTGACTTTACCGAAAGAACCAAAGAAGAAAAAGCTTTTATTACCATTGAGAGGGTAGGATTATCTCAACGTTTTGGCTTACTGGTCAAAACGTTTAGATATTCCTAAAAAACTAGCAATTGTTTAAATGTGCATCATCATCATTGCGATCCACGGACAGATAGCCCAAATTCAGGAATTGTTTAGTTGTAAAGAAAGTCTTACTTGCTGTATGGTCTTACCGTATACACGATATAATACAGTACATTGAGTGTGTTCAATGGAAATTCTAATGATGTTCTACGAGTATACATGGTCCTCCTGTCTTGGCAACGTAATAATACATCACCACGATCCATGGACAGATAGCCCCGTAGGTTGACCACTACTACACATTTCGACATTTATTTCCACTTCTGTGCCAATAGGCTCAAGTGGTGCCACATCTTTCTGGCACCGATCTCTTAATGTAATTTGCTCTTATTGTAAAAAAAACTATTACAGCTGTGTCTATGCTCATATCTAGAAACACTCGAAAGAGAATGTACACTTTGAGCCCCCCAAAAAAGTGGGGTCAAAGAAAGTTTTTTTTTTTAACTTAGGCCTACAAGAGTTTGCATTGTACGCCGAATCCAAATATCACATTCGGGGTTTGATACCTTGGATTTTTTAGTACTTTTTGCGAAGAGTGTAATTAAAAGTGGGCAAAGCCCATGGACGATGATTGGTACTTATTCCGTTTGATGTACTATCTGCACAAATGACACTACTGTACTTTTTTGTATACACAGCTTTTGCCCCTTAAATATGTGCAGTAGCCTTTATAAATACGGGGTATTTTCTATAAATATTAGTCTATTATATCTTCTTCAGAAGTTATATTTCAATGAGCTCTCACCTGTAAATTACAAATCGTAAACATACGTTGTCGCATATCGAGCATGTAGAGTCGAGAGAGAGAATATTGTGCATAGGTATGCTAATACTGTATGCCTAAACCCTATGTGGCCTACTGTGGTTTCTACCATGATAGATTCATATTATGTTTAGGTCAAAAGCACACGAGGCATGCGGTGCATAAAGGTCATGAGTTCCCTTCATTATAAATGATGTATTTCATTTTCTGAAGCAGCATTTCTTGTGTATAGATATACCTGCGTGTGTACGTTGTGGATTACACACTGCATTACGAAACAGTGACCTGGGTGGTTTAATCCCTGGTCAAGGCACCCATCAATGTCATCTCAACCTGTCATGCCCTCCACCACTCCCCCAACTTGAACTGCTCAGCTGTAGTTGAGTAGCTGGTATTGCGTGCTCGCCTCAGCACCCTTCAGGTGGCCGGGCGTGGTGCTCGCTCAACATCCCCTTACCTCTCGCGTGTGCCTCGTGAAAGTTATGGACGTGTCATCGCCGTGCACACCCACCATTGTATACGCGTGTATACACAGCGTCAATCAATGGGTAACGCACGTGCGCATCTGTGTAAATGCAAACAGGTGCAGACCGTAATGCGTATTGCGGAGGATTGTACACGGGGCCGACCGGACGAAGGGAGCGAGAGGACTGCAGTCGATGATGCAGTGGCCTTGCTCGGTCAAATATACGAACTTCCACAGTCCACGTACCCGTCACATTCACGGTGACTTGGTATTGGGGCAGCTGTCATTAGGGGCTCCCCTCGGCGAACAACCAGCGCTGAGATGCGTGTTTATGTTAGAGGCGCAATATAAATGTAAGCCGTTCTTGCGCGGTATATATACTGAATTAATCATTAGGTCACCCCCCATACCCACCCACTGTTGTCTGGACACGACAACACCGCAACGTCAACGCGGTGTTGAGGATCAATGAAGCCTCGACATAGCCAGAGGGTTCATCGGGCGCGCATCCACCCAGCCCCCCCCCCCCCCGGTGATAGTGGCGACGTGGCACCGACCCGAGCCATACTCCGCCCGCTCCTCGTAGCCGTGACACGGAACATCACGCGGCAAGGATTGCCACGTGGGCCACGCCACGACCTTGCTCCCCCCCCCCCGACTCTCAACCACATCACGTGACCTTGCTTCGGCCCGCTTCCCCCACATGACGGCAGAAGCTTGTAGACATGTATGGGCGGTGGGAGGTGTTGTGAGAGCTTCAATTGCACTGCACCTTGTGGCGCGTGCGTCAGCGGGTTGTGATTGTGTTGAACACGTGTCCGTCCATTCAGGTTGCAATGGCAACATTAACAGCATGTAGGCGGCGGCGGGGGTAAAGGGCATGTGTGCGTTTCATGTTGCGTGTGGCAGGCAATATGTTCAGGAGCTAAAAGGGCAATGTTGAATTGTGATATCCAAGATGACAATGTCCATTACGCGCGCGCAATGCGTGGCTGATAATTTACTCCGAACCGTGTTCCGACATAATGCGACACTTAATGTTGATGCATTACGATAAATCGTATTGTTCTATCGTGAATCACTTCCGTCCGGTCAGCGTACGGCTAGGTTAGTTTATTTTTCGCACTGAAACAATTGATATTCTGTTAGTACAGCAGGCACCGTCATTCGTTCGGGGCCACTGACGCAGCGTGAACGGTGAGCACGCTGTGGAAGTTCGATCTCCGGGGCGCGGCAGTGTCCAGCCAGCAGTTAATATCCGGGTATACAAGCACAGAGCCAGTCGTTTTGGTGGGGTAAAATGTGGGTATACGCAGTGCCGGATTAAGCTCGCGCGGGGCCTGTCGCATATGTTATAAAGGGGCCCTAATTTGTTTTTTTCAAAATACACGTAAATATTAAAACACACATTTTTAACTCGCATAGTAAAGTAATTGTATTTTTTCACTTGCTATACAGCCAGATAATACGACAAATCCCTAACCTTAAACACCCAGTCCATAAAAGTTGAAGGCAGTATAGTACTATAGTAATAGAGCAAGTGCAGAAGCACTGAACCGGAATTGATAGCTTGAAAACGTTTAGCGCGGGGCCCTTGAAAGTGCGGGTCCCGTAGCTACTACACACGTGTAGTAGCTACTACACACGTGTAGTAGTAGCTACTACACACCTGTAGTAGCTACTACACACGTGTAGTAGCTACTACACGTGTGTAGCAGCTACTACTACACGTGTAGTAGCTACTTTTGCGACTAGGATAATCCGGCACTGGGTATACGCTCACCTCCACGTTTTTTTTTTCCCAGCGTGGAAGAGTAGGCCAAATAACGTCTAGCTCCGCAAAGCTGGGAGACCCTTATGCCAGCTAAAACCGGCACCAACCAGCGAAGTGAAGTATAGTAGAACGGCCACCACCAATGCCTTCATCCAGCAGTGGAATGACGAATGTCTTATACATGTAATAAGGGGCCGTCCATAAATGACGTCACGCGATTTTGGACGATTTTTTTTACCCCCCCCCCCTTCGTCACACGGCATCACAAAAAGTCAGACCCCACCTAAAATATGACGTCACAAAGCTCTGCCCCCCCAAAAAAAACATGCTTCAAATCACTTTAAACTATTGTCATTGTAGTGCGTATTTAATGTGGCGCTGCACTCTGATGTAGAAGAAAACATTAATTAAAAAGTCAAATGTATTAAGTAGAACGTGTTGTCTATATTTATTTAAAGTTGCGCATCTTGATGTGACGTCACATTTCTCAACCCCCCCCTCGTCACAAATGTCTGACACCCCCCCCCAGGTGCGTGACGTCATTTATGGATGGCCCCTAACACTACCAACTCCTGTCCATCTGTAACACGCAGCGAATGTGAACACTGTATACCCCCCGCCCCGCCGCCGCACATACGACAATCCATCCTTTTTGTATATAAAACTGCGCTTCCTCATTGACTAATCAATCTCGTCTCGAGTGGTGGGGTACAATGTGGGTACCCCCACCACTCCACCCCCATCTCCCCAATCGCTCTCCCCCCCCCCCACCACCCGTCACGCTTGGAGGCGTAGCGGGGTACGCAGACCTATTCATATTCAATGCACGCGCTCCCAACCCTCTCGATCTTCCTCCTCCTCCGCCGCCGCCACCACCACCCCCCTCCAAGCTCCCTTAACATGTCGAGCCAACCAACCGGAGGCGCGGAGCTCGGCACACCCTCTCCAATCCATCAACTCCGAACCCGACCCAACCCACTTGCTTGCCCTGCCTCCCTACGTTCGAATGTTACGGGGTGGTGGGGGTCGATTGCCTTCGTCTGGCTTTCTGTGAGCGGCGTGGAGCGGATGCGATTTGGGGTGGAGCTCGAGGCTTTGGTTGGGTCGCGTAACGCAGCTCGTGAGGTTGTCCAGGGTTTTTTTTGGTTTTTAGAGGAAGAAGATCCTCCCAGCAGCAAGTACGGCGTTGATTTCCTTGGTGTCCATCCATAGCAGCAGCAACAGCAGCAGCAACAGCTTATTGTATTGCCATTCGCAAGGGCTGCGTTTGGCATTGCTGCGGCTGGAAATAGAAGCGCAGCACTGGTAGAGAGAGAGACAGAGAGAGAGAGACAAAGATAGACACACAACAAACCCGTAGGGAAGAATCAATTTATTATTGTATCGCTTTAACAGTTGTTGAACGATGGCGAAAGGCGAGGGCAAAGGTGCCGATAGCAGTAACAGCGGGAGCGAGTCCTCCCTCCCCGAGTCCAACCTGCTCAACCAAGAATCTTGCAAGGTTAGCAACGTCCACGGGTTGTTTCATTCCATATCCATCCCTCGTGCCTCACCACCCCCTTACCCCGCTCTCTACCCATGTGCTCATCACTGCTTCGTGTGCGTTCCGAACACAGTTTGTGTAATTCGCGTGGTCCTTGGCTTTTTTCTTTGGAATTCGCTCGCCCGAGCGGGTCGGTTCATTCATTCGATCGACGCTCGATTCGCCGCGGCGTGCACGACGTCTGTAGACTCGTTCCTTTGTTCATTCACCGTGACATCCATTCATTCATTGCGCTTAGAAATAAGTGTTACGTGGCAGTGACAGCTGAGCTTGCGTGAAGCTATGTGTGTGTGTGAGGGCGGGTGCCCTGTACACTTAATGTGTCCGTGCCTGGCGTTGTGGGTGTCCTTGTGACACACCCGGCAACCCGCAGTTCGATTCCCGCTCACGGTGCCCCCAACACCGCTGACGATCATCTGAAACCGGTCCTGTGCCCTCCCCCCTAGATAGACTCGGCCTCAAATGAGTACCCGGTTCGGTGTGTGAACATCGCCACCCGGGGAGACAAAGGCGGCCGGGCGTGGTTGCTGGCCACCAACCGGCTCGTGCCGTGCCGGCCTTCATAGCTGCTGCTCGCTAACAGCACTTGCCCCAAAAGTCTGTTCAAGGCTATACGGGGGATCTTTGTCTTGTTGTCTGTGTGACACGCGTGTGTCTACGTGTGTGTACGTGTCTATCTGCGACGTTTGTCTACGTATCTATGTGTAACTTTGTGTACGTACATGTGACGGGTGTGTATCTTTCTTTTGTGAATACGTGCATGTGTGTGACTTTTGTCTGTGCGTGTCTGCATGTGATGTGTGTTTGTGCCTGTATGTATGTACGTGTGATCTGTCTGTGTCGATGTATGTATGCACGTAATGTCCGTGTGTCTGTCAACGTATACATGCGTGATCTGTGTGTACACGTGTAAATTGTGTGTGGTATATGTGTAGACTGCGTCTGTATGCATGCATGTGTGATATGTGTATGTATGTATGGATGCGTGATCTGTGTCTTTGTGATCTGTGTGTGTGATCTGTGTATGAATGTTAGTATGTGTCTGTGTATCTCTGTCCTTAATATATGTGTCGTATGTGTGTGTATGTATGAACTGTGTGTGTTGTGTGAATGAATGAATGGGTTTCCTCAGTATGTCTAAGCACGGAGCTTAACGCTCCACTTTCTCCTTCCTCGCTGTATTCTTTTGCCTTTGTAAGTAAAAAAAAAACACCGCCCAACAGCTGAAGTTTAAGAATGCAGTTTGGTGTGGCTCTGCGTGCATCCATCTGACTTACGAAACACGTGGCGTGCTACCCATTCATAAAACACTTTGTAATACCTATGGGGAATTGTGTAATCACGCTCGTGGTGTGTAGTAACATGCAATATATAAGCGAGAAAATAATGATAACATTAATCGCACTGCAGTTATGCGTCTTACTTGTATGTGAATGAACCAAAAACAGGGGATACACACAACAGAACACACTAAAGTTATATCAATATATACACGGACACATGAAACGTACGAAAGACACCTCGCAAATGAACATGCTCCATTTGAAGGGACAATTTAACTAATATTGCTATTACAAGTAATACACAGTATACACACAGACACACAAAGTTGAACATACACACATATCAGCAGCATCAAATTAACTGAACACACGTATGTACAGTATAGCTTATACATGGAGCTCATTATCTGCATACAGAAATCGACCAATGTGTAATCAAGAAGAGCCGTTTCCCGAAAAGTCGCCTGTTATATATATTCTTTCGAGGCAGCGTCAGTGGTATTATTGATGAATGCGATTTTCCTTGTTTGGGCTTGTGCATAACTGCCAACAGAGCAGGGGCCTTACAGTAATGGACCAGAGCGTTGCTCCATCATCATACGTTGCATTGTCCACAGCCTTGCAGTGCGGTGGGGCAGCAGGTCCCGTGGTTACGTGTATCGGCAACATCGCTTTATCAAATGAGCCTACACAGTCACTGGCATTTCTGGAGCACAAGGCGAGGCTGTGATGCGTACGCGTCACATGAATCCCGAGTGGCGGGAGAGCCTGTTGTAGCGATTGTTGTTACGATTGCTATCCTGTCCTGGCTCCTATCCATGGCATCATCGCATCTCTTCAATAAAGTACGAGAGAAAATTAACGATTAAAAGATGACAGCCTCACGGTTTGAAAGTAGAGAACAATGTTAAAGATGCCTCCCCCATGATTTTTGTGGTGGTCCAAAATGGAAAACGTTGAGTTTGGAATATTTCCAGTGACATAGACCTGACAATATGTGTGGCAAATCTCAGCTGTGTAGTCCTTTTTGGAAGGTTGTTTGAATTGGCATCAGTCGCTCGCTGGCTCGCTCTCTCCCAGCTGTATCGGATCTCAAATATTATTTTTTAAATCAAATTAGGATTTACTTGAGTCACTCGCGATCAAGCCATATATGATACGCTGTTCGGTGGAATGTTTAAAGTGTAGCTACTTTCAAATACTCCAGTTTGTGTACCTGGCATGTGGGGTAATTTCTCGTAATACCTACGTGTACAGTTTACACTTTATATTTCAAATATTTTATCCAACAAAAGGCTATAGAACTCAATGCTGAACAAATAATGCTGCGTTTTAGCTCAGCGTATTGACATACATACCCATACCCTACATATCATAACCTGTGAATATTAATGCAACAATATTCAGTGTGATGGCTGACTGATCCTCTAAAACACACGTCTATGGATTATAAACATTTACCTAATTTAATAGAATCTCCTAATTTCCAGATATCTTGCAAGCCTGGAAGAGTAGGCTTAAATGTGGAGGGATTGTCTAAAATTCCATCAAGCTGAGCAGGCCCTTCTGTCAACCTTGATCAAAACATTTGCAGGGCTCCACATTGGCCCTCTTATATAAGGCTGTCCACATTCCGCATATATATTGGCGACGTGGCCACGTGCACGCAGCTATGTTGAGCCCCCGTTGGTGGCGGGCTTTAACGTCTACACGCCAGCCCGGGCCGCTTTGAGCCACGAGGCATTCCATTCGTGTCATGGAAACATGGAGCTCGGGTGCGAAGCACTGCTGACGTACAGGACGCGACGTAGGAAAGTGCCCGCGCCAACAACGCTGGAAACACGTTGCCGTGAGCGGGGGGGCTACCTCGAGACGAGAGGCAAGCGCTGCATAAACTCAATGTCAAACAGCTCATCAGAGTTAACTAAACTTTATATATTGTTTATTTTTCTAGGTAAGGCCCACTGACCTATGTAGCTGTATTTCAGAAGTGACCTGGCTATCAAAAATGATAGCTCAACGGGGAGTGGCTTTGTCAAATGGAAATTTCTAGCAGCCAAATACGCGCGTTGATTCTACATATGGAGGGCAAAAACTGGAGGACCCGAAATAATCAACGTGACCACGGCGAGAATACGCAAACTCTAAATATACAACGGGTGCTGGGATCAAACCCACGACCTCCTGTATATCAGGCAAGTGACTTAACATCTCCGCTCAGTCGAGCGGAGGCGGATTGGGGGAGGAAGGGGGGGGGGTCACAACATTTCCAACTTTTTAAATAGGGCTCCTTACATGATAACAAATGTATACATTTAAAAGCCACGTATTCATTCTTTTTCTGGAAAAACTTCACCAAAACACATTCACGGGCTGTCGCACGCACCCGCTGTCCCCACCTTGGACCGAGCACCCACAGTGACGTTGGGCTCGGTTAGTACGTGGAACAGGCTGTACAGAGATCATGGTAAAGTGCTGTGGGGGGACTCTGATTTCTTATCTAAACACGGTGGAGCCTGGTGAACTACGTGACCAGCTGATACTGGACATCGACTCGCCCGTGCTGGACATCTGTGCAAAAGGGCTTCATAGCTCATCGGATTCCTCCAGTCTAAATGGGGAAAAAACTATTGTTGCTTCACTGGGCACATGTAAAAAATGTTTATATGATGAATATGAATTCACCAAGAAGAAATAATAATTTGATTATTCATCCACGTGATTTTCATGTTGCATGCCGAATCCCAACTTGGCGTGTGAAACACACATTTTCAGGATTTTGCACACTCAAGACCATATTTAGAAACATTCCAAAGCATATACACAAAAAGGCCCAACTTGAATGCACGTGATAGTTTATGTTTTCACAAAGTAGCAATTTCATAAATGAGCTTCACAGCAGCGGTTGCTGTTGAGCGTGGAGCAGGCGCTGGGACTGCACTTGGCCCCACTGGCTTGGCTTCCCACTGGCTAGGCTTCCCACTGGCTAGGCTGCCCACTGGCTAGGCTGCCCACTGGCTTGGCTGCCCACTGGCTAGGCTGCCCACTGGCTAGGCTGCCCACTGGCTAGGCTGCCCACTGGCTAGGCTTCCCACTGGCGAGGCTGCCCACTGGCTAGGCTTCCCACTGGCTAGGCTGCCCACTGGCTAGGCTGCCCACTGGCTAGGCTGCCCACTGGCTAGGCTTCCCACTGGCTAGGCTTCCCACTGGCTATGCTGCCCACTGGCTAGGCTTCCCAGTGGCTAGGCTGCCCACTGGCTAGGCTGCCCACTGGCTAGGCTGCCCACTGGCTAGACTGCCCACTGGCTAGACTAGCCCAAGAGCCGGAGGGCTCCAGGTACTGGGCGACAAGATGCGAAGGGGGTGGGGGGACTCATTTAATTTCTTGCACCACAGCCGCATGCCCAACCACGCTATGCCCAAAGTTTAACAATTGGTTGATATAACGTTTGTCGGACGTGTACATCTGTCATCGTGCGTGCTACCCTGTCAATAATGTTATTGACTCTCACAAACAGTAATCCGCGTGTGTTTGTGTGTGTTTGTCTGTGTGTGCGTGCTCGCTAATGCCAATGTCGCAGGAGCCCAAGAGCACAAAGCTGTCTGTGATGAGCAAGATTTGTTTCGGGATTGGTGGCGCCCCTTACCAGATGACCGGCAGCGCCATCGGATTTTTCTTTCAAATATTCCTTCTTGACGTGGCGCAGGTAACGGAGCACGCACGGTGCGGTTCGGCCGCCGTATCACAAACGCACACACTTGCGCACACACGTACGCACACATGCACGCGCGCGCACGCACTGACGAATGCAAAGATCCCCTGTGTAGCCACACCAGGCTGTTTTGGGGCAAGTGCTGTTAGCGAACACCATCGCGCGCACGCGTGCGCGGACACGCACGGTAGAGCTACCAATAACGCACAACAGGCGCATCGTTAAATGCTCGTTAATGGACTTGGTCAAACATCCCGATGTAGGATCGCAGAGCTTGGGCGATCGTTGGCGTCGCGGTGCTGACCGCCTTCCCTCTTCGTCTGTGGTTTGCCGCGAACCCATTGTGCGACAATATGTCGGCGTCACAAATTAGTATACAAATATCACATTATGTTATTGATGTAAAAAAACAAGAAGTGGTTTACCCCCCATCTGGCAGTAATGGAGGAGGCGTTGAGATGTTCGAACGCCAAATGGACACCTATCACTACAAGGCATCAAGTCTGCATTAATCACACATACCTGTGGTAAAGCATGCAAGCAAACGTGCTTTGGTAATGTCCTTGAAGCTGATTGGCCCACACCAGGTGTGTGTTTGGTGTTTGAACTATTTCAAAACTTCGTGTCTTACTGTCAGACATTGGACATCTTGACAGTGGTAAAGAGGGTCCTGTAGACATTCTCATGATTATTATTCATATCAATCCTCCATTCTGTGGTTTTAACCTTGCCGGAAAATCGCAGAGCTGGAACCGGATCGACATTCAGGACAATGATGAAAGGATGTGACTCAGGAATGATGCAGGGATTTGCGTAGGTGTGGGCTTATCCGTATCTACGGGTAGAGCTGTCTCAACACTCAGCAGGGTAAACTGCACTGACAGGGGGACGATAGAAATTGAGAGAGGAGGAAAGCGAGACTAATACAAAGACAGAGATCCCCTATATAGCCTTAACATACTGTTGGGGCAAGTGCTGTTAGCGAGCACCTATGAAGGCCGGCACGGCACACGAGAGGGAGGGTGGCCAGCACCACACCCGGCCGCTTTGTCTCCCTAGTGGCAATGTTTGCACACCACACCAAGTACACATTTTTAAGGCTGAGTCGACCTAGGGGAGGCCCAGGACCGGTTCTGATAATCGTCACCGGTGTGGGCCGTGAGCGGGAATCGAACTGGGGTCGCTGGGTTCGTAGCGTAGCACGCTAACTGCTACACGACCGCTCCCCCCATGCACACACACATAGATATGGACAGAGATGGATAGACCTGGAGAGCGATAGCCAGAGGTGAAGAGTGAAACACAAAGAGAAGCGGAGAAAGTCATATGAGCATTCTGATGCACTCATTATAACACCCTACTGGACATCTTTGAAAAAGAGCTTTATCGCTCATCGGATTCCTCCGATACCGATACAAATACATATTCTGATTGCGACACCCGCAAACAAGACAGCATCGCCCCGATACCCCAGTTATCCCCCCACTGGCTCTCAAATCAATCCTGGATCAATTTCAAGATCGCACTTGCCCTCTTCAAGATCCTCCAAGATCTACTTCCCTCCACACACTCTCCTACCTCTCTCCTCTCGTCTCACTCTGCTGACCGTTTATGAACCCTCCATTCCAGCAACCAAGACTTCCTGTTGTCGAAGCCCCCCCCCCCCCCGCTAAATATTTGCACTGTGGGAGGTCACTCATTGTTCTCTGATTAACACCCCCACCTCCCCCCTCCTAGTCTCTAACTGCCTCTCCAGCCATCCGTGCAGTCGCCTCCCTGCCCCTGTTGAAGTCCATGCTCCAGTACCTTTTTTTCCCTTTCAACCGTCACTGGACTGGCTCGTTCTGCAAAATAATTATGGCCACTGTTTTCGCCATTAAGATCCAGTGGGTGTGGATGCTATACACACACACACACATCCACATTCTATCGTATTGAATTGAGAGAAACATGGACAGGGAAGGAGAGAGACTCAGGTTTACACGCTCTTATCTGTCTTAGACACTGCAACAGACACAGAGAACAACACAGAGAGAAACAGACGCGGGTAAAAACACGGATAGAGACATGAAGAGATGCAGCGGCATTCAGAGAGACACAATGCAATTATGTGTCTGTCTCGGACACACTTAAATAGACACGGAGAACAACACAGAGAGACACAGACGCAGAGAAGGATACGTATAGAGACATTTACAGAGAGAATGCAATACAGTACTGTGTTTGTCTCGGAGACACACGGACAAGGAGGAAGACGTGGAGATAGAGGCCAGAAAAGGGACGGGGGGGACAGACACAGAGAGAGAAAAACACTCAGAACGTAGAGAGGGTGAGGCATGAGGGCGACGGAGAATGTTAGTGACTCTGCGTACTTTTCCTCCGTAAAGCCAGCTACAACCAGCGGCACACTGAAATACATCAACAGCAGCGGCACCAGGGTAGTGTGGCCTGATCGCAGCGCTTCCTACGCTGACTTTTACATCTGCACTGGCTGATGTGAAGTCAGCCCGCGAGGCATCGTGCCCAGGCGACGTTGTCACCTGAACAAACATTCGGATTCTGAATCTGAAAGTTCACGAGCAACAGGCCCCATGAATATTCACGAAGGCTCGCTCATGTCCCCTATACTTGGCACTCCTATCGTGGTTTTTTCTACGATTTGTCATTGTTAACTTTCTGACCCACGCCTGGTGGACATCTGTGAAAAAAAGAGCTTTATAGCTCATTGGATTCCTCCAGTATAAATAAAGATGCTGACTCTCTATCAGCCATGGCAGTTGTAATTATGACACGTGGTATTTTTGGGGGGGGGGGGGGGGTGGCGGGCTTGATATAAATAATTATGTATTTACAGCCTTTTGCCAATCCACTGCTGGGTGAAGTCCTCCCCTCGGCGTCTCGGTCATGGGGTTTTCTTTACCATACTTCACCATGCCGGTCGGCGTGTGGGGTTGGAGAAGGTGGTGGGCAGTAGTGGAGGGGGGCAGGGTTGGCGTTGTGAGAGATCCGGGGCTGGGTTCAGATGTCACTCACACCACTGTTTTCCGACACTTCACGTGGCCTGGAGGTGCACATAGCCTTGCACAAGCGACGTGGCGACGTCACCATGGCCTCTGTTGTTACAGCCGTGGCTGCGGATGAAGCTCAGGTCGCTGGGTGCATAATGTAATGTGAATAGTCGTTTAAGAAACGCAAAATAAATGCTAATAGCATCTCGAATGCTCATTTCTGTCCGGTCACACTGCGTTCATTATATACACGTTAAGGTCTCCCTTGAGGTGGTTGAACTCAAGGTTTTGGTTCTCGAGTTTGTCGGGTAGAGAATTCCATACGACAGTGCAAAATCTCTAGGCCAGTGGTTCTTCACCTGGGGTCAGAGACATGGGCCAGATTTTTTTTTGTGGAAGGTAAATCGGCGAAAACACAAATGAAGCATGGGCACGTAAGTACAACTTGCTTTGTTTCATCAAACCCCTGTGTATTCATTAACATTATACATCTTTTTTTTACGATTGAGAACCAAAGGGGCGCAAGGCTGCAGTAAAGGTTCAGAAACGCTGATCTAGGGGGACTAAGCAAATGCACAAACTGCTCCATGCCCCCGGAGCTTTACCGGTGACGCTTGACGTGCATAAAAAAAGATCACAAATATCCAGCCGCTGCCCCACCACCTGCCAAAACCAAAGATTTATAACTCTGAAGATTTTTGCCACTTTTAAAGTTCATCTCAGCAGAACTGCATTTGTGGTTACATTTGATCTTCCAAATACACTTATTTAAACAATTTGCATATATTTCTGGTCAATTTCAGTTTCTTAGGCTAAAGTTACACAGCGTCGAATATATTACGCATAGCCGATGCAAATAAAAATATCATGTAAATTTTAACAATGAGTAACGCACCTTGAGGCTAATTAGAATGCACAAGACGCGCAAACCAAGATACTAAAATTATGAAGGAGACTTCGTTTCTTGGCGCCACTGTGGCGAGATGTTAACTACCTCGCCTGGTATGCAGGAGGTCATGAGTTCGCTCCCGACTCTGATGCCTGCTGTATATTTGGAGTTTGCATGTGCTCCCTGTGGTCATGTGGATTTTTGTCCAGGTCCTCTGGTTTTTTCCTCCACATTTAGAGACACGCGTTTATAATATTTGCCTGCTATACATTTCCACACGATAGGCCACTTCGTTGAGCTTTCATTTGTGGCCAGGTTGCTTCTGAAAAAGAGCTATACAGCTCAGTGGGCCTTAACTGGTAAAAAATAATAATTCAGTTTTTAGTTATTTGTTAAACCAGGTGAGAACTAAAGTTGAGGAGGATGTGTCTCATTTGCAAGCGTGACTTGGGGGCATCAGTCTGCCAATCAGGGGGCGGTGGCTGCTTCTGCTGCTGCGCGTGATCCCAATTGAGTAAAGTGCGGTGGAAGTTTCCAATTTTCTGGCAAATTCTAACCCTGATGCCGCTGGCATGCAATGACCGACCCTTGCTATCGACTTTGTGGGAATCCTTAAAGTTCGCTGTGAGTGAAGCGGACAGCGAGTAGTATTATTACCACTATGGTCAATACGCCGCACCGCTGCAGTATTGACCAGGGCGGCCGCTGGATTTGAACCACGAAGCCCCACAACAGCGAATGGCGCCACCGCCGGACCGAATTGTGCAAGCCGCTAAACTGCCATCTCCATATACATACATACTGATACGCACGCAGACGCATAGCTCATGTGTCCACGTCCCATTCTTGTAGACTCGCTTGCACGCACATGTACACACGTAGACGCACACTCCAGACGTCATGTGACACGGTGCCGTCACACGTCTAGCACTTGTCTAAGCGTCGCCGTGCGTGTGTGTACATGCGTGTGCGTGCGGCACTCCAGCTGAAGCCGTTCTACGCGTCCGTGATTCTGTTCGCGGGGAGAGCGTGGGACGCGCTCACGGACCCCGCCGTGGGCTACTTTGTGAGCAGGAGCCGGAGGACTCGCTACGGAACGCTTCTGCCATGGTGAGCCCAAAAACAACTCTCTCTGTCTCTCTCCGTGTGTGCGTCTCATCACAGCGATATCGATCAACCACTGGGCCACTGTCTCCTTTCTCTTCCGTCACTTCTCTTTCCGTTACCTCTAGTTTTACCAGAGCTCACAACAAAGGGCATCTATAGCATAGCATGGCGTGATGTTAATTACCTCACCTGGTATGCAGGAGATCGGGTGTTCTATCCTGACCCTGATGCCTGCGTATTTGGAGTTTGCATGTTCTCCCCGTGGTTGCGTGGATTTTTTTCTCCGGATCCTCTGCTTTTTCTCTCCACATTTACAAACGTGCATTTTAGATAATGTTGCTGCTATATATTTCCACGTGATAAGCCACTTTGTTGAGCTATCATTTGTGGTCAGGCTTATTCTTATTAATAATAAGCTTAATAGCTCCGGGGGCTTCAGCTGCTAAGATTCAAAACATATTTTGACTTAAAACTTTCGTGACTGCAGGAATTCATATTGATATATCTATGTGATTTTACCGAAAGAGCCAAAGAATATATATATAATTTTTTAAAGTAGTGTTATTGTATATTTGTTTACCTTTCCTATACTTTGCACTCCTGTAGTGTTTTTGTATTGTCTGTTGTTGTAATGTTCTGACCCACCCCTACTGGACACCTCGAAAAAGAGCTTTATAGCTCATCAGATTCCTCTAGTATGAATAAATATTGTGATTTTGATCTACTCTGCCGCACAAATGGGTCAGGGAGTTTCACTAACCTTTGCCTCTTAGAGTCCCGGGTCACAGATTCCCGTCACCATGCCCACTGCCCAACATCCCATGTATGTACGTATGTTGAACTTCTTTCACACCGTACATAGTCGACCGTGCCAATCGGGGGTGCCTGGGAAGATTTCACACGAGTTCAAATGAAAGTTCATCCCGGTTGCGTTGATTATTGTGCCCTTCTGGTTCTGTTGACTGCCCTCGATGTTATTGTTGTTTAAAAGGTAGATCGTATAAAGTATATATACGCGCGTGTTGCGCGTGTCTGGGTGAAATTGCAGCTCCGCGGTTAGCGCACTGTGTGATCAACGCCAGGGCGATTACGGTAACTTTGCCGGCACCTCCATCACTAAGCCCCTCCCTCGAATTGCAAAAATGTCACCGGGAGAGACAAATGAGGCTGTGTTTACTGAATTACGCGGGCACTAGGATCGCTGCCAAGTGTGTTCAGGTTTTGTTTCTCTCTGCTTCTCTAAGCCAGAGGAGTGATTGTGTTGCCCTGTGTTGCAATTCAATACGTATAATGGTACTGGGTGAGCACCCGCATTAATTAAACGTCCAATAACCGCATCAGCAATTGGTTTGCATTAAAAAATACGTATTTATGCACAATAAATTGTGTATAGGGTGCAGCGATTAGCACGCCACGCTATGAACCAAGCAGCTCGAGTTCAATTCCCAGCCGCCGTCAGTTTCAAGTGACCTGGGCGAGTCCGCTTCACTCAACCACACTGACCGGCGTGGTGAAGTGTGGTCAAGTAATCCTCACGATCAGTGTAGCATGGGAAGGCTTTCAACCGCGACTGGATTGATGAATGGTTTAACAATTTTAATATAATTCGTGTATTTAAAAAAATATATATATGCATTGACCAACAATATTCATTTGCACTTGTGTGAAGTCGTCACGTGTTTTAACAAGCCCCGTTCTCTATCTCTGCCGCTATCGTCTGATGCACAATTGTATCGTTGCTAAAAAGCGCCATGGAATATCTTGTCTCGTACGGATTTAGTGTGTAGGTTAATAATACGGCCCTATTTAGATCTGTACAAAGGTAAGGAGGAGACAGTGATGATGCTTTACCCACGCCACTCGGTGCGGGTTGGTTAAGCGAGCGGGACCCAGGACTGGTTCGGATTTAGCTCGCCGCTGACGGTGATCGTGACAAGAAATTGAACTCCGGTTACCGGCTTCAAAGCAAGGCGTGCTGAACGATGCAGCAACACTCCACCCCGGTGAATCACGTTCCTGAGCCATTTTAAACTTGTTAGAGTTTAATGGTAATTAAAAAAACACGTATAAATGATGTCTGTTTCAAATCACGTTTCAGAACCAGAATTTCGTTTGCGTTTTGCCATACTGCGTGTAAAGTCAGGTCTGTCTTAGAAAAACATCAGCTCTCCTTCTTGCATCATAAAACAGAGGCCAACCTTGTCTAGTGTGGTAAAGAGGTGGCGGTTCTGTGATATCTCCTTCCACGGGCCAGTCTCGAACGTGGGGTGATGGACTCGCTCAGCTAGATTTCCAAACGGACGCTTGGTGATCTCGTGACATGATGACATCCGTAACACAACATTAGCATGCGATTGGGGAAAACTAAAAAAAAGTGTTTAAAACGTGAATGCACAATTGCCGCATTGAGGCGATCTATGCGAGGGGGGCGCTCGCAACAATTTCGGTGCCATTTGTGTTTTGTGGGGGCATGGGGCCCGGGAGGTGGGGGGGGGGAGGGGGAATTGTCTGCAACTGAGATGAAGAGAACACCTCTGGACTGGTTGTGTGGAGAGTCTGGCTGCTGGTCGAGAGGTGTGGCTTGGCAGCTGTGATTGGATCCAACTGGGGTGGTGTGATGCCGTGTGATGCCGTGTGCGCGTTCGTGAGTGAGTGCGTGCGTGCGCCGGCGAGTCACGACGATGATGATGCACGGATGCGTGCGACGGTGTCGCCATTGCGAAGATAAAACATGACTCACAGTCGACACTGAGGATGCACATGGGCCGATAAATGAAAAAATCATTGCCGTAATCTGAAATGAAAACACGAAGTGCCGATCACTCGGTCTGTCAAGAAGCCAATTGCAAATGTCAATTCCCATTTTCCAGCAAAGACATATATACGTACGGTAGTCTGTCAATTCTGTGTATGTGTCACGGTTACCACACTATGCTACGAACCCGGTGACCCGAGTTCGATTCCTGCTCATGGCCAACACCGGTGACGATTATCTGAACCGGTCTTGGGCCTCCCCTAGGTCGACTCAGCCTCAAATGAGTACCTGGTGCGGTGTGTAAGCATCGTTACTGGGGAGACAAAGGCGGCCGGGTGTGGTGCTGGCCACCCATCCCCTCGTGTGCCATGTTGGCCTTCATAGGTGCTCTATTAAGGCTATACGGAGGATCCTTGTCTTGTCGTGGGTTTTGCAGAGCTGAGCCTGGATAAATACGCGTGTTTCGATACAAAGGTGATTTCATAAAGGTTAATTGAATAAAATGATAAATTATCGAATTATAACAACATTACATTTACGATTAATGCAATGAACAAACGCAAATTAATCCAACGCATAGATGGCAATCGGTGCTGAAAATGGGCGCATTTGAAATATTCCAAATGGGAGTTAAAAAAAAGGGTCAACATTGCATGTGTAGAGTCCCACGATAATATGAGCCATTATCCACCCACAGAGCCTCCTAATTACCGACACGTCAATCTAAACGTCGCACGCAAAGCCTTCGCGAACATTTCAGTAAAAGCCTTTCGGTAGGCCAATGAAACAAATAAGGGCTTTGGCAAATATTTTATTCCGTGAAGAGTCCCACAGCTGTTGCTTGGCTAAGAGAATGCTTCTTTGCGGAAGGGGATCATTATGGGGCGGAGACACTCGGTTGACAATTGCCCAACGTGACACGTTACACGATTGGACGGAGATTGGTCGTGACGCAGATTTAACCTGTGGAAAACGAGCAAAAACCTTCATTATAATCGTCATGAGCCATTCTTGAGTACATTGTTAAGTTAATATTGTTTGGATTAATATAAATAATTCCAATAGCATATTAACTTACCCAGGAAAGCCTCGCTTTTGTCAGAATCGTCGTGCTACATTGGGCATTGTTTGCCCAATATCTATGAATGAGTGGCATGTGAGAGGAAACAGGAGTACGTGGAAAATGCCCATACAAATTGATGGGATACCACTAAAAGCACCACACAGATGGATTCAACAATTAAATCGCTGTACCACACATCGAGCTCGACGCGCAAATGGGTCGGGGAGTTTCACAAATCTCTGCGTCGTCATCCACTAACCCTCGCCTCTTGGAGTCCCGGGTCACAGGTGCTCGACAAGGCGGCCATTAATGCCCCAACGTCTGTTGAGCGTAAGACCGTAAATCCTGAGCGCTTATTTTCAATCGCCAGGGAATACGCCTGCGAGTGTCACTTTTATCTTAACGGATTTTATAAAGCGACTTAACCGAGGCACTTTACAAAGAATAAACAACGGTACTACAACAACAACAACGGTACAACAACTACAACGTGTGTGAATGTAATGGCGGAGTTGAGGTGAATTAAATAGATGAGAGGAAGCAGTGGGGGGCAGATCTGTGATGATGTGGGAATTCGGTGCAAGCGAAATTGGTGATAGTCGATGATGATGATGGTGAATGTTTGAAATGAATTGGGGTTAATGAGTGATAGCCGTATAGTAAGAATGTGAAGAGGGAACGGTGATGGAGGTGGTTATGAGGGGGAGATTAAGGGGGTCGTAGGGTGAGCTGGGGAACAAGAAGTGACTTGTGAGTGCGGAGCGGAAATTTAGTGAGCGGAGATGACCGCTTAATGTGGAGGGGGAAGTTTGTTCCAGCGAAGGGGTGGGCGAGAAGAGAGGGAGCGAAAGCGTGGATCGAGCACAAGGAGAAGGAGGAGCTGAAAGCTCCCGAGTGTTTGTCCACGTCGAAGCATGGCGGGCCGGGGGGGGCCCCCCAAAAAGCACGGGGTGGGGAGGGTGCCCACGGCAGTCGCCCCCCCGATTCGCCCCCCGATTCGCCCCGTAACCCGAGGGGGGATTGCTCTGGGGAAGGAGAGCAGATTTCATTTAGTAAAGCACTGCCAGGGCCGGGGGTTGCGGTGGGGGGTGGGGGGCCTCGGGGGTTGGTGGCACCACACTCAACATGTGCAGCCCCAGGGAACTGGGGGAGGGTTGTGCGACCCGCGGCCCCGGAGCCGCACGC